ACCCGTGAGTCCTAGGAACGACTAAACTGACCACTTTGATACCATTAAATGTAACACCCTTATCCAGTTCAACCCAAAGATCGATGGATTATGATGTCACACGGGATCACCAGAGTGGCTAGCTCAAAATTTTTCTTTTTAAAACCATTTTAAACAATTATATAAAACATCAACCATAGCAATGTAAATAAAACATAGTAAATTTATGTTTACAAAATGGATGAACTCCTAAATCATCTATATAATACATTGAGTTTAAATCAAATAGGGTTATAACTAAATACAAAAAGGGTTTACAATAGTACATTCCATCTAATAAAAAATCAAGACGTACTCTAAAGATCTTTACTGAGTTGGAATATCTAGTGATGATAACGTTCCACGGATAGCCTCTTAAGAACTTACGCTCAAAAACATATTCCAAACTCTGAGTTTACGAGTTTAATGTCTCACTAATAAATGTATTATACTATAAGCATTCATTAAATATGTATGCTATAGCAATAGGTATGAAGACATATGATGCTGATCTGATATACTAAGGTAGGTATCATGGTGTCGTAGAGGATTATGCATATCGGAGCTCACACACCCCTCTAGCCTTCCTAAAATACACTTGGGTATTTTGGGTGAGATCTGAAACTACACCGAAAATGTCACCTGATGAACTCTGGCGAGTCTTGGGGCTTATATGCCCAACTGGTAAATGGAGTTCCTTGGAAATGACTGGGATATCTAAACTACACAATCTTTATCTACTAAAGTAATTCGGGTGTCCTGATTGTGTCCCAAGTATCAATCAACGCTAGTTTTATGTCATTATGGATGTTATTATTTATGGTTGTTATAAGTTTATTACTGTTCTCACTTGTAGTTTTATTTCATTATGTTTGGTATTATTTGGTCCCTCAATTCAATCCCTTAAAACCCTTATATTTCTTACCCAAAACATTTCATGTGTACCGATACTAAGTCCCTCAGAATCGGTACTGACCTTTGGACATCAATACTAACTCTTGGGTATCGATACTACTGACTTATTGAAGGTAGATAGAAGAGGGCTAGTATCAATACCATTATTTGAGTATTAATACTCTTGGTTTCTGGTATCGAAACTTTCATGAGTATCGATATCGAATTTGGCTTCGATGTTTTGAAAAATATCTTAGTATCGATATTAGGGATGGCAATGGGTCAGTTTTTTGGTCAACCCGACCCGAAAATATACACCCTCTACCTAACCCGACCGGACTCGAAAAATATATATCCTTCACCCAACTTTGACCTGACCTAATTTTTTAGAGTATAAATCCGACCCGACCTGACCCAACTTGATATAAATTAAGGATTTAATTAAAATAGTAGTAATAGTTTTTAATGAAATTACATTATTATCCTTAGGTCGAGTTGGGTCAAAGTTTTTTCATCATCTACCCAATGCACCCCTTAAAAATTTTGACCTGACCTGAACCTAATTTTTAAAAATAATATGACATGATTGGGTTAGATCGGGTCGGAACCCGTCGGATAAGGGTGAAATGGCCATCCCTAATCGATACCCCTATTGAGGAGTACTGATATTCTACCTGTGGTATCAATACTCCCATGAGTACCATTACCAAACATGGCTACTGGAATATGCTAAGTAACCTTAGTATGGATACTACCCTGAGAGTATTGATACCTTACCTATAGTATCGGTATTATTCTTCCAATATCGATACTCGTGCCTAGAAATTTTCTGTTTTGGGAACAAAAATACCTGCCCAACACTCCTATAAGTTTTATTGAGGTTTCCAAACGTTATTAAAGTGTTATGTCTGATTATAGGGGTCACAATAGGTCTTTTAACTTGCTGAGAAAACCAAACACTAAAATCTACCATGAACATGCTTCAAGCCTGATGCAAGCAAACAAAGTCACCAAGTAATCTACATTGTAGTAGAGTTAAGTTAGAAGTAAGTTATCTTGAGTTTCTAAGATACTGGAAGCTCCTTTTCTCAACCAAGGGTGAGCTTTTCCTTTCCTTTGCACTTGGAACTTTCTCCAATCTCTCTCAGTAAATAAGGAATGAATGACAAGTGTTACTAACATTGTTGGAAAGCTTATGAGAGAGTTTAGAACATTTCTTGAGGCTTAAATCTCCAAAAAAGGAATGATTGAACTTAGATTCTAAAACCCTCACTAAAACCATATTTTGGATACCATGAAAAAATGAAGATATTGAGGGCTTAAATTAAAGCTCTGAATATAGAGGTTATGAATCTTACCTTTAGGATTCCAAACCAAGGTTTTAAGGTCACCAAGTTGTCACCTCTGGTCAACAAAATAAGAAGGAAAAAATAAAGATGGAATAAGGTAGAAGACAAAGGAAGATGAGGAAAAAGAGAATGGTGCACATACATGATATTTTTAAACAATTAAGGATTTTAGCTTTTAAAATTCTAAATGGTAAAATTGCTCTTTCACTCCTTCAACTTTCATCCAAGGAATAAAAATACCCCTTTTTAAACTCAATTGGGCTTAAACCAAGCCCAAATTCACTCAACTTAGGTCTACGCATCTTACAAGCTAAATGATTTTTCCTAAAGCCATATCGGATTTACCCGAAACTCCTAACATGGGATACGGGGCGTTGCAACTCTTGACTCCTAGAAACAAATTTCATCCTAAAAAGAGATGAGGGTACTAAAGCTACATATCCTCCTTGGTTTTCCAAGTTACCTCATCAATGCCATAGTTTCTCCACAATACCTTTACTAAAGGAATCCTTTTGTTCCTTAGTTCCTTTACATCTCTTTCTAGGATTCTGATTGATTTTTCCTCATAGATCATGTATGGGCTCATCTCGATCTACTCTATAGGTATAACATGAGAAAGATTAGAATGATATATTTTGAGCATGGATACATGGAACACATTATGGATGTGTTCTATCTCTGGTGGTAAGGCTAACCAATAAGCCCTTGGTCGAACCCTCTCTAGTACCTCGTAAGGTCCTATAAAGGGCAGGGTCAACTTTATTTTGTTCCCAAAATGAATTGCTTTCTTCTATGGATAAACCTTGAGGAATACCATGTTTCCCACTACAAACTCAAAATCCTTACGATTCATATCCGTGTAATATCTCTTCCTATTTAAGGCTTATCTCAACTGGCCTTGAATTAGCCGAACCTTTTCCTCGGTTTCTCTAATTAAGTCTAGACCCATTATCTTACCCTCATTGAGCTCTGTCCAACATAGCGAACTTCTATACTTGTGCCCATACAGGGCCTCACACAAAGCCATCTGAAAGCTCGACTGAAAATTGTTTTTGTATGCAATCTCTACTAATTGTAGGTGGTCTTACCAACTACATTTAAGATCTATAACGGTGAACCTAGCATGTCTTCATGCTTGGCCACCAATAAAACTGTTGAAGCACTTGTTACATCTTGTTACTATTTGGGTGAACTGAGAGTAGACTGAAATATGCCTCTTGAAGGATCTTACTACGCAACTAAGTGTTTATGGGTATGAACAATGGACTCCTGAAGTACAAAACACCACCATCGCGTAACTTAAAACCTGGTGCCTCACCTAGGAAATCATACTCAACCCGAACCTTTAACTAATCATCTAAACTTACTTGTCTTTTGGTCTCGCATACTAAATCTGGATCAACTCGCAACTTGACTAACAACACAACTTCTATAGTCAAGATCAACCGTGCTAGGAGAGCACACAACTCTCTCATCGACTTACGGCTCAAGGCGTCTGCCACAACATTAGTTTTACCCATATGGTAGTCTATCACACATTTGTAGTCCTTAAGCAACTCTTTCTATGCTCTCTCAAGTTCAACTCTTTCTATTTGATTAAATACTTAAGACTTTTTTTATCGGTGAAGATGTGACATTTCTCACCAAAAAGGTAGTGTTGCCAAATCTTCAAGGTAAACACCACTACTGCTAGCTTAAGGTCATGATATTGCGCTCGTGAGGTTGGAGCTGGTGGGATGCATAAGCTACAATCTTGCCTTCTTGTATCAAGACGCATCCGAAATAATTGAATGAAGCATCATTGAAAACTATGAAGTCCTTACCCTACTCTGATTGAGTCAAAACTGGGGTTTCAAATAAGATTATCTTCAAATGTTCGAAACACTTCTATATCTTTTCATCCCACACAAAGGGAACGCCCTTCTAAAGCAATTTGGTCAGTGGGAAGCTATCATCGAGAAGCCCTGGAAGAATCGACTATAGTACCCGATTAAACCTAAGAAACTATGTACCTCTGACACATTATTAGGTGGTTCCCACTATGCTATGGCCTGAATCTTCTAAGGGTCAACTCGGATGCCGTCTGTTGACACAACATGACCCAAAAATGAAACCTCTAGTAACCAAAACTGATTGTCTCAGAGTGTCTTAAGAACGATAAAGAGGTGTTGTTTATGCTCATCCTCTGATCGAGAGAACACATGGATGCCATCTATAAACACCACTACGAACTGATCTAGTTGGGGTGAAAGACTTGGTTCATTAAGTCTATGAATGCCTACGGGGAGTTGGTGAGTCCAAACGACATTACCTAGAACTCATAATGATTGTACCTCGTCCTAAAAGCTATCTTCGCTACATTGGCATCCTTCACTGATAATAAACTAACTGCAAGTCGATATTAGAGAACACACACACTCCTCTCAGATGGTCAAAGAGATCGTCTATTCTTGGAAGTGGGTCACGGTTCTTGATGGTTAACTAGTTTTGCTTTTGTTCATCTATAAAGGCATTAGACTATTTCCAGACTGGCAAATTTAATTAAAAGAAACTCACCAAGAAGAGGAGCGTCAAATTGAGGCTATAACCGATATTCCTCATTCAATGTGTCATTAATAAAGGTCCTCTGCTAGGTAAAACCGTTTATACCGTAACATAAGCATATAACCCAGACACATATGTTCGTATATAGTGTCCGAACTAAATCGTTCACAAACAAAACAAAAAAACTAAGATTGGATAGGGGATGCGTGAACACAGGCCCCAACTACCATAAATTATGACATAGGCTCTCCCACTTTGGGGATACAGTAGGCAAGCGCCCCTCCCAAGTGCAATGTAGGTCAATAGCCTAAGACATGGGCCTTGATGACCACCCATCGACCCCATCCAGGTATATATGTTGCAAGGGTGTTATACGCCTCTTATTTATTTACTTCATCTCCTATTCTCTTTTTAGTTATGGGATTAGTGCTTTATCCCGAATGACAGTCTCTAGGATTTGAATTTCCCAGCTGACCGGCGAGTTGGTGAGGCTGAATGAAGACACGATGGATTTATAAATTTACAAATATTATGAACAACTCCTGAGCAGTTTAAAATTTTATTTTCTTGTTTCTTTATTTCTCTGATTATTTATGGCATTAACTCATACAAACTCTTCCTTTGGAATGATCATAAATTAAGTTAGATATTAGTCTTTAAAAGCTTTCAGCAACATTTTTTTAAAATGTTACACTTTGGCTACCAAGAACATAACCATCTCATTCCAGTTCGCTCATATTGTTTCCAATATAATCTTGAATTTTGAAGTAGGCAGTTCTATGACCATAGCAATAACCAAGTACCATGGGTAATGTAATTTCTTTGAATTTAAATATTCATCCATACAGTTTCATTTCTATCTTTGCTTTTCTAGTAAACCAGTTCAATGTCCTTGGATGGAAACTGTCAAGCATATATACTTCGGGCGGTTTTCTTCGGCTTTAAGCACTTATCCAAATTGTTTCAATCTACTCTTTCTTTGAGCAGTGAGGTAGTTCAATGTCCATGGAAACACCCAAACAAAGCATTTTAGTTTTGAAAACCGCAGCTAAGTGCACCTAAGGTGTAAGGCTTCTATGGACGTATAGAAAAATACCTTGAAAGACAAAGACGGAGCAACGTATCGAAAGCTCACCAGATCGCTTTTGAAGCTTTTTGGTGAAGTACCAAGCAGAGTCGTTTCTGCCGCTTTATATATTTCACCTTTTTTCTGTATAAAGTAAGCATAATATATGATGTAGTAAATTAATTATTATAATTGAATATTGCCGCTTTATCCTCTCACCTTTCTTTGTTTTCATAATATAATATAATAAAAATAACCTATAATATAAAAAATTAATATAAAAAATATTTAATATATATAAAATTAAAAATTATATAACTACTTTTATAATTCTTTTTTATAATGAAAATATTATATAATTATAATAGCGGTGTTGCCTTAGTATAAGTATTACTCACCATTCATTGTTCTTTTGGTTTATGTGGACAAATTCTTGTTCCACGTGGTTGAAGCACTAGATCAAATCTTCTCAACTGTATTTTTTTAATTTCAAAAAAGAATATTTACAAAATTAATATCTTCATTTAATTTTTTTGTTAATACACTCATATACTTATATCAACTTTAAAAATAAATCACTATAATTCATTACTTATAATGAGAAAAATCGATGTAAAATATTAACTAAATTAAAATTTGTATAATTTTATAAAATAAAATAATAAGAGATTTCATTATTTTACTTTAGGAGTGAACTAGTGCTTAATAGATGTGTATATGTTCTAAAATTAATTCATAAAGTTTTTAGTACAAAAAATGCGCACTTTCATCTTACGACTTGTGCCTATGCTCGAAAGACCTTTTACGCATTAGTGTATCTTACGTCTTTTAAAACTAAGCATATCATGACTTAAATTTGTCTGGTTCGAGGATATTGAGACTTTAGGAATTTTTCTTTGGCTTTAAACAAATTTATTTCAATCCTTTCTTGCATTTGTAGTGAGACAGTTCAAGACCATGGCAACAATTAAGCATAGCTTGGCTTGAACTTTGAAAGAGAGGTCTTCAAAATTCAGTATTGTCAAATGGTTAAGGGTATGGTTATTTTTAGAGATTTCAAGTTCAAAATTGTCTAAATTATACGAAGATCTTGATATATATTATTCAATGACTCATTAGGTTGTTTCCAAATTACTTTTATATTTATAATATGACATGATATATATAATTAACAGGTCAGTGTAAAAAGATGTGAAAATTCTGTGATACTTTTTAAAATTGGACTTCGAAAATGTTTTATAGTAAAACGAAATTATAAAATATAAAAAATTTATCATATTATGATTGCTTATTATAAAATAAAATAAAAATACACACATATGAAATTAAGTTTTCTTGCCTGAGTTTTTTTTACATGTGTATTGTCACGTCTTTGGAGACTCTCTAGAGGCGTGACAAGTATTTAGTAGGAAAAATAAATTGTGTTAGTATTTTTGTTTCAAAGTGTGTGGCTTCCAACATTTGAAGTCATTTTACGTAGCACGAGTTATACTTGCTAATGTACGAAATGAAATTTAAATGTGATAATAATCTGATAAATTTTCATCAAATTGTATTAAGTTTATAATCAGTTAACATTGGATTTTATATTTAAAAGCAAAATATCACATAAAGAAATAAAAAAACAATTCAATTGTTATATAAGATCAAATTATCAAATTTTCCATGTTAGTTACTTTTCATAAAATAATAATAATTAACATGTTACCAAATATATTCAAAAAATTCCAAATACCAATGAAAATATTTCAATTTAATTAATTTAAAATTCCAACATCAAAATGAGAACATAAAAGAGAAATGGATATATATATATATATATATATATAACCACAAAAATATGCTTGTAAATTAAACATAAAGAATCAGACAGTATAAAAATATGAAAAAAAAATTCATTAGTATCTAATTAATTTAATTTCCAACATTTCATTGACTTAAATCGTTTGTACGAACATTTGTATTATAAATGTTAAAAGAAAAAAAACTTATTGTTGTTTCCAAAAGTATTTATAAACTAAAGATTCAATGACATTTCTGAGTAATCATCTACAAATATCTATTTTTATATTGGTTACTTTGTTTGATCCAAGTTACATTCCAAAGAGATTTTATTCTGCATTTGGATTTGCCCCCTAAAGAGAGGCCCCGAGATTTAAAATGCATTTACTTTGATAATCATGGCTACTGAGGAATCTTGCGATTGCCAGGTACCAGGAAAGAAAACAATTATTTTAATACGATAAGATTTAAAAAAAAAAACTATAAGAAAAATGTCAAAAAAAAAAAGCAAAGTTTTTTAAATTTGGGTAGCTTAATTTAAGGTTAATTCAAAATATTTTTAACCTAAAATATTATCATGTTTAATCTAAAAAGTATATAACCGAAAATGTTATATTAAGATAGATTTAGGGTTTAAGATTTATAACCGAAAATTTGTACAATTTGTAATACTTTCGGTTACAAGAGAAAATGTTACGAAGAAAATAATATTTTTAGTTTCAACTTAAAAGTGTTACACAGTCAAACCTAAAAAATTAGGTTTTTCATAAAATTTTCAGTCTCAACTTATTTCTACCATTTTTAACCTTATACTAACCAAATAATCTGACTTACTTTATAGTTTTCTGGTTGAGATCATTGGCTACTTCATAGGGATTGGGATTGTATGCTTTCTGAGCAGATTCCGTTGCTTTTTGAGCTCTTTTTTGCCGCACCTCATCGAAATCAGCTATGTTACCTTTAACTATGGGACTACTTGCAGTAACAATAAGTCCCAAAAACAATATAACCTTCAAAACATTCAATGTAATGCTCACTAACTTCTTTCTTTATTTCTTGCCAAATTGAGTAATCTAAAGAAAATTTTATATATTTGGAGATTGCATTCGACGGTTTCTTTAAATACAAGTGCATGAGATCCAAAAATGATGGAAACCAGTGTGATTTGTGAGGGGATTAATGGAAACCGCCACCCAATGAATGGTTAAAATTTTGGTCTATCTCTTATATTTCTCCCTATTTTTAGGATATTAGTACGATGCATCCAAAATATATAACAATTATAAAAATGTTTTAAAGCAATACATATTTATAATGGGTTTAAAATTATCCCAATGTATTTTGTGGCGATTAATGTCGGTTTGATAAGTTATTGTATAAAAGCAACGAGGGTAAGACAAAGGACGCCATTTCTTCTTAATCGTTTGTAATGGCCATGAATGTGCTATCCTATAATTGATCTGAGTACACAAAAGATTAAGGAACGGATAGCTAAGCATTTATCTTATGTTCATTGACCACAACTTACATAGTCTGTTATTTTCAACATACAAAATCTTTGGTGTAAGTAGGGGCGAATTCATGTGAAGTTGTCACGGGCCGCGAGTTCAGATCCAAGATCAAGGCAATCTTAGGTGAACGAGAGGTACTGAGTAACGCATCAAGGCCACAACCAAGTTGTTATTGCTTCCATTCATGAGAGTCACGCCCAAATCAAGTAAATAGCGATATAGTCAAGTTATGATTCATAATTCCATTGAAGACTTCGAGTTAGGGACACCACCTTCTAAGAATACTTTGTGTTCAATTAGAACTTTGCCTTCGAGATAGGCCTTTTAAATTATAATTAATTGGGCAAGTATAGTTTAAGTCTAAATAGGACACCATCGGTTGTAAGGGGACTTTTAGTATAAACAAAGGCTCTCCCCACCTCAACTGTTACGCATATATTTTTTAAGCAATCAAAGATTAAATCGAGTAAGCTCAACTCTCTCTTGTTGTTTTCTTTCTCTCAATATTCTATTACTTTGTTTTCATTGATTCCATTTCATTCTTTCTAAGCCAGGGCACATTTAAAGGTCAAGATCATTCGGGACGAAGGCTTACTTATGCACACAACTCATGTTCTTGTACCTAAGGCGACATGATTGCTATGTTACAGTTTAGCTCCATGACAAGTCGTAGCAAGACTTGTGAGCTAGAGTGATCGAGATACTCACGCAAGTGAGGTTACAGGAAAAGATAAGGTCGAGACTTGTTCCAAGAAGCTAAAATGAGCAAGTTCAAAGAAACTTTTGTCATCTTTTGAGGGAAAGGTCGTCCGACTTGGGAAATACATGAAGGATATAAGGGAGACTTTTGATGGGTATGAATAATGCTTTAACGAGTATAAAAATGCCTTGGGTAGCTGGACTTTAAGGGAGGTGAGCGCACTTAAGGGTTGCAAGGCATGCTCATTGAGGGCCAACTAAGCGAGAAGAACGAAACTCTTGAAGTGGAGTTATAATCG